AAAGAACATTGGGTAGTGGTAAAATGGATTCTAAGGTATCTTCGAGGGACTTCGAAGGTGTGTTTGTATTTTGGGAATGGTAAGCCAATACTTAATGAGTTTACAGATTCTAACATGGCCGATGATGTTGATTCTAGGAAATTTACTTCGAGGTATTTGATGACTTTTGTAGGGGGAGTTGTGGCATGGCAATCTAAATAACAAAAATGTACCGAAACTGAATTTATCACCATTACGGAAGCTTGCAAAGAAGAGTTATGGTTGAAGAAATTTTTGCAAGAGTTTAGTTTGAAACAAGAAAGGTATGTGCTCTATTGTGATAGTTAAAGTGCTATTCATTTGAGTAAAAATTCTACACTTCATTCGAGATCAAAACACATTGATGTGAGATACCATTGGATTCGTGATGTGTTAGATTCGAAATTGTTGCAACTCGAAAAAGTTCACACATATGATAATATTTCGGATATGTTGACTAAGACTTTGTCGAGGGAAAACATTTAAAGTGTCGAACTTTGGTGAGTGTGGTTGATGTCTCCACCTAAGTCGGTGGGGGAAGAATTGTTGGGCATACCTCCTTATTGGAGTATGGGACCCAATTGGTTTATTACATGAATTTAATTTGGTTTGGTGTTGGTTATTATATATTTTTATATATTATATCTAGCTTTTGGTGCCCAATGAGTATTTAATAATTAGATTGGCAGCAACTAGGGTTTTGATAAAAAGCTCAAACGTTTACAATATATTTGTTATTGTTTTTGTTTCTCCATGGTGAAGCAACCATAATTATCATTATTGTAGTAGAAATTGTGCTTGCTGCTAAAGTTAATGTCGGTGGGTTTGACTTGGTGGAGTTGCAGCTATTGTCTCTGATTCGGTTTATTTGGGTCTATTATTTTGGGTCTTCTACAACTCTGTTTCGAAGACTTTTGTTCATCTATTTAGTGAGGTCTTTCCTCTTATTTATTTGTGATTATTTGGAATTCACCTAATGGTGATTTTTACGAGACCATTTGTGTCTCGTTTGTAATCGTTTTGACAATTATTGGTTGACATTGGAATCGAATTTCAATCTCGTGAATGTACCTCAAATTAAGGGAACCACGTAAAAATTCTTGTGTCGTTGTTGATTTAATTTTTTCACATTGGTTTTTATTTCCATTGATTAATTTATTTGTGGGAAATCATTTATTTTTCCTAACAAACATCACATAAACCCCCTTTTTACCCCCTCACTTTTCAAGAAACATACGGGCAATGATGTACAAAAGTGTCTTTAACATTGAAATTAGATTTATTAGTCTACAAGAGGAAAAAAAAAAAAAAGAGCAGGACTACATGGTTCATGAGACCTTGATTTGGGATTTATTGGTGCTTTGTCTTTAAAACAAAAAGTCCATTAAAAGTATTGGTGAAGCGCCAATAAATCCCAAAATGCGATCTTATCAACTGTTTAATCTTTTCTTTTTTCTTATGAATCCAAAGGTCCCATTAAAGTGAAAATTACACAAAAGGGTAGTCACTTATATGTTTGAGTTTAATTTTTTAGGGATAAAAGTTAATTTCTCCAAATGTAAAATTATGCATTTAGGCAATTTACGCTATAGAAGTTTTGGATTTTCACTCATTCTGGAACAAATCTCACATTACCAACAAAAACTTAACACTCTAATGTAATATTCTAACAACATAACAATCCAACACACTAAAAAAAATTTTAGTGTACTTTTCCTAAACATAACAAGATAACAATAAACAAACAAATAAATAAATAAAAACTCTTTAGTGTACTTTTCTCAAACGTAACATTCCAATGTAACATTCCAAAAAAAAAAAAAATTAAATTCCTTAGTGTACGAAAACCAAACACAACACTGCAATCAATGTAATTCCAAACATAACATTCTAATGTAACATACTCCAATATAACACACATACCAATATTAAAAAACTTTGTAGTGCACTTTTTCCAAATGTAACACTCACAGTTTGAAATTATACATTTGTCAAAACTTACTAATGAATTTTTGTAATCATTTAGAATAATTTTTGAAGAATCCCACAATTTTTTTAGAGTGTTACGTTTGAGAAAAATACACTAAGAAGTTTTTTTGTGTTTTATATTAGAATGTTACATTAAGGAGTTTTTTTTGGAATGTTATGTTTGAGAAAAGTATACTAAGAAGTTTTTTTGTGTATTACATTAGAGTGTTACACTAAGGAATTTTTTTAGAAGGTTAAGTTTGAGAAAAATACACTAAGGAATTTTTTTCAAAGGTTAAGTGTGAGAAAAATACATTAAACAGTTTTTTTGTGTGTTACATTGTAATGTTACACTAAGAAATTTTTTTAGAATGTTACGTTTGAGAAAATTACACTAAGGATTTTTTTTTTTTTTTTGAAGAATCTCATATTTCAAGTCATTTTTGTATTCATTTTGAAATATTTTCCAAATAAAAAATATTCTCATATAAAACTTCATCTCAAATTTGATTCCCATAAATTGTGTATCATACTTTTCTAGCATGCACACACACGCACACACACACACACACACACACACACAAAACATAATATAAATAAGGGTATGATCATAAATCTAATTTTCAAATAATATATTAAATTTACTTTCCAAAAGGGAAAATTAGTCTAAGGTCCCTCTCCTAATTTTAGTAATAGAAGAGATCCACAATATTATATTATGATGTCTAAGGTCCCTCAACTTCCACACCAATATATCACAGAGAAAATTAACTCTCTCAAGTCAATCCACAGAATAATTTCTCGTTGAAGAAAATCTGAGCCTACTCTCTCTCTATATATCAAGAGACCCAGCTTCTTCTTCCTCAAGCAGCTCTGCTTCGGGTTTCCTCCAGTCGTTGCTGCTCTGTACAACACTATCATATAGTTCCACTTGCTTGCCCTTCGTCTTGCTCCAGAAGTCCCAGCAAAGTTAAGTTGTCGCAATGACACGAGTTTGCATTCTCTCCACAGAACAAATGCTGGAGTCTCTGATTGATCATAGCAGAATTTCTTGTTCAAGACTTGCTCAGTTGAAAAGTCATTACTATACCTTGAAATATCTTCCTCAACTCCAGATTTGAAACCAAAATTCTGACAAGTTGAAATGCCTCTCCGACGAGAAACCCACACCATGGCGCCATCTTTCTTATCTTCCATTTTCTCGAACAATTATGTTTCACAAAAGCACGTCCTAGCAGGTGTAGAAGGTTTGCGTTCACAAGAAATGGACAATCGAAGCTCGCCGGAATCAAAATTCTGTGAAGTGTTATCGAAACCGTCAACATCTGAATACGAATAACACTACTAAAAAAAGTACTTTTTGCGACCGTTACAAGCCGTCGCAAATAATAAAAAAACAGTCGCAAAAGGCTTTTTGTGACGGCTCATGCGACGGCAAATAAGGGTCGCGAATGTGAGGGTGGCAAATACTTTTTGCGACCGCAAAATAACAGTCGCAAACTATTTGCGACTGCCTAACCTACTTTTTGCAACCGTTATTTTGCCGTCGCAAAAAAAAAAAAAAAACACTTTTAGCAACTATTTTTTTACTGTCACAAATAATTATTTTTATAATAAAATCATATACGTTTGCTACAATAAAAAAATCAATTCCAAGCACCTAACAATTTTTTTTAATAAAAAATAACAAAATTAACAAATTAATTTAAATTCATAATAGAAATAGTAACCCATTCACATATAAGTGTGCAAACAAAATATAAACTTTCATACATGCAAAAACAAATATCCATCAACCATCATTAAAATATATTGTACTAAAAGATTCGAGTCCTCAAAAAAAATAAATAAATAAATAAAAAGAGCAACATAATCTCAGTTTGGCTCCCAAACATCACCCGCTCGATTACTACTCCCTCAACAAAAGACTGACGTGTTAGTTCTAATTTTCAGCATGTGGGAGCCTTTGCTTACAATAATTATATGAAAGCCCACATCATCCAACATAACTATAATGACCAACACTAACATGCTTCTTTCTAACTCACTTCATCTGAAGCGAATGGTGACAATTTCAACCATGTGTGTGTGTTAGAGAGAATTCAAAGCCATCATCCACTGGTATTTTTCAAAGGCTTGCAACTTTGAAGTAAATATTCAACAACAATTCAACTATCAATAGCAAAGCCTGTTCATCATAAATTTCTACCATTTAATTAAACTAAGCTTTCAAGATCCAAATACATATGGAACAGCCCATAAATTTGACTAAATTCATAAATACTTGGTGGATGGTTTTTTTTTTTTTAATTTTATTTGTTCTTCTGGGAAAAAGAATTGATTAACAGCAAAGGGCTTCTGGTATTTGCATTAAACTAAGGGAAGATTAACAGCAAGCTCTAAGGACCCCACTCCATATATAAACAAACAAGTGGCGAAGACAAATTAGAGACCATAGAAGAGAAAGCAGAGGGTCTGTTGCAGAATTCGCACCTTATACATGATTCTTTGGCTTCGATTGATGTTCAAACCCAACAAGTGGCGAAACTGACACAGAATGTTGAAGTTCAAGTTAACCTCGTGTTAAGGGATACAGAAGCAGTTTATGAGCAATCCAAGGGAATTGCAGCTTCTCAGTCAGAACTACAAGAATGCTGAAGAGATGTGCATCTTAATCCTTAACAAAACTACTAGTCTATTTATTGTGGAAAAGAAAGCTGAATAGACTCACCTCAGCTTCGCTTGTAAGATCAAGTTTCTTCACGAGGTACATCTGGATAAATGAGACAGGCAAATTACCATTCCTGTGAGAAAGGAAAAATACAAACAAGTAAAAAAATTATATGGCATGATACTAATCCAAAGCTACAAGAGTTCTCTTCAAATAACACAAAAATCAACTAAAATGTGCAGAGCACATCAGCAAAATACCCCAGCTACTCTTCTTGGTCATAGTCGTTGCCATAACTTCCAGAAGCAAGCATCACCCAACTCAGAACATAGTAAGAGATGAATCATATGGTCTGCGAACGAGAAGTATCTGGGAAATAAAGAGGAACAAAGAGTGCCATGATAGTGGAAAGAAAAATCATACCCATGATTTGAATAACATCATCAAGCCAAGCAAGGTTGCTCACAACTAGGCATACACCAGCCATGAATGCCAAAGACATCATGGCCAGAGATAACCCAATAGTGGCAGTACAAGCCTAAGTGCAAAGAGGACTAAATTGAGGTCACCCAAGTGTGCCCAAATGAGAGTTACTATGGCTATGACAGAGTTGTACATGGCTATGGTGTCACTGATCAGAAATGCTTTGAAGTAGTTGCTGTTTAGCAGAGTTGCCGTGCCTTCGACTGGAGCGGAGCTTTTGTAGCCGCCAGGGACTGTGAAACCGGCTGTGAAGGTTACAGTGGCAATTATTGTTAGTACTAGCATGAGAGTGTTGATTCTTTCCTTATAGTTTTCCATGTTTGGGGGCTTCCATTTCCTTGAACTGTGTCGGTTGGCTTTTGATGCTTGGATCTTGGTGCACCAGCTGATTTCAAGGCCATCCAAGTTAACCGTTGCAGGGTACAAAACAGTTTTAAATTTCAATCCAAGTGTTTGTGAGATGCAAATGTGTGACTTGGCTGTTGGGTCAATTTAGTTGTTATAATTCTAATTGCACCAATTTTATTTTTTAATTTTTACATGTTGTGTCAATTTAGTCTAATTTCTAATTTTTAGAAATTAAAATGAAATCAACAAGCTAAATAGTTCATTCGCTCTCTTCAAAGTGATTGAGGGGTTCACGACCAATCTGAATAGTTCATTTTCTATTGAATGAATTATTTTATACTTGATTTCTGCTCAATTTTCAACCGTTATTATTAATTGGACTAAAGTTTGACTCCTGACCATTTGTCCTATTCATAAGCTTAGGAGGTCGGCTTAGGGATTGGCCTTCAAACCCCAAGTTTACGCACCTAGTTAGGTTAAAATATTCTATCTAGATTGAGTTCTCAATCATAAAAAAAGAACAAAAATGCTTTGAATCCCCAAAGTTAGGGACCCCCACAACCCTTAGAATGATGTGGACCAATCATGTGTTTTTGTTTTTTGTTTTTTTCTTTCCTTCGTGGACCAATTGTAGATACGTAAGGATTGTGGGGGTTATGTTTTTTTGGGGAGTATGTAACATTGTTGAAAAAAGGAAAGAGGAAAAGTCATTAAAATTTCTCTAAGTACGAGACAGAACTCATTCAACAATACATAACATATATAAACTGACATCCATTAGAAGGTATTTATTTATGAAACTTTAAAAGGAAAATAAATAAATAAATAAATTTAAGACATACCTTTCGGAATGGTGGTGTAGTTCCAATGTACTTCTCAGCAGCATCTAAAGCGGTTAAGCCTGCATCATTCACTAACTCTAGCTGAACTCTCTTGTCCCACGTAAGCGAGTTCACAATCTTAGGTCGCCAATGCATTGCAGCCAAATGTAATGGCGTATTTCCTTTCTCATCTCTTTCATTAATTAGCTTTTCAAGCTCAGGCGTTTTGAGCACATAATAACATATTGTCTTTCCCATTCTTTGCTGCCACATAAACGATATTTTGACCTTGTTTGTTGAGCAATTCGCTTGAATCTGGACAACGTTGGAGAACCTCTTGAATGATCTCAACATGGCCCCTGCTAGCCGCCATGTGAATGGGAAAGAAGCCATTTTGATCCCTTTGGTATGTGCCCTGAATGAATTTGTCTAGTAAGTAGGAAACCCCATTATAATAACCAATGCATGCTGAATGGGATAAAGCACTCCTTCCTTCTTCATCAATTGAATGGATGAGAATTGAGTTCTTGCTCAGTATTATATCAAGAACTTCTGGAATTATGAAGAAGATGAATACGAAGGAAAAACAAATAAAAATTTAAGAAAAAAGAATTAAACAACCAAATAAATATATACATGTATGCTAGAAGATAAAGTCAAGTATTATAAAGAAAAACACTTTCTACCATGATTTTTCATTGAATATCAAGTTAAAAGCATGAAATGAGGAAATAAGACGATTAGCATTTTCCTAAGTGATGAATCTATGTAAATAACAAGATAGACAACAAAATATTACAACAAATTGGACTGAGAAGTGCTGAAGCAAAACCTAATAAAGTAAAGTAAATAAATGATTGTGAAAGTCTCAATTAGTATGTCTACACTTAATAATTTCATTTGTCTAAAGGAGTGACTTGTCACCAGTCTACTTAGAAAACTATGATTAAATTAAGTGGTTATAAAATGAATCTGATTGTTTTAGTAAATAATCTATGGACTATATACATAGAAAATATTGAAATTAAATCAAAGTTACTCAGCATTAAACTTACCTCAAGCATGGTAGTCAAAGTTACTCAGCAATTAAAGTTACTCAGCAATGACCGAAGCATTAAAATATGTGAATCTCGGTATAAATCAATTTGATTCCATGAGCAATCACTGCAAAATCACATGGATACAAACAAAAAGAAATTATAAATTAAACTTCGATTAAGTTAAAACAGAGCACACGCCAATCCAATTTCTATACATGTAGAACCACAGAAATCCATCACCGATCATGACTATCAAACTTACAGTAAAGATATATAGATGAAAATTAAAAGCAGATCAGAAAAATATGTGAATCTCGGTATAAATCAAAGTTACTCAGCAATGAATGAACACAGATATAACCAAAGCTTCGTGGCTGAGAGAGAGTTAGATCAATCATGAGTTCAAATCACTCCAAAATCTATACACAGGTATTTGAAATAGAAATAAATAAGAGAAGAATAGAATTAAATCAAAGCGATTCAATCAAATAGCAAGAGTTTAAAGTCATTCAAATTGATTTCACACATAGGGCCAGAGTATAATACCATGAGATTACAGCTAAACACACAGATTTCCACACATACACACACACAGAGACTAGGCGAGTGGACGGTAATCGGCGCGAGTCATATCACGATCAACACAGAGCATCGCATAGAGAGCGTAAACTATTCCAGGAATGTAACTTAAGATCGTCAATACCAAGCATACGAAGAACTCTACCTGCAATCCACAATATATATACATATATAAATATACAAATATGTATGTATATATAGAGAGAGTAAGGAGAGAGAGAGAGAGAGATTCATACCACTAGAGTTACGACCATGGCGAGCAAAGAGAGCGAGAGAGAGAGAGTACGAGAGAGCTAGAGAGAGACCTCTCTGTTTATCAATGTCGTGAAAATGACAGTGAAAGGGGCTTAGGGCATAGGTGAGTGTAACAAAAGGGCAAAATAAATTGGGGTCAGTGAAGGGAATAAAAAATAGGGGTAAAATATGGCTTTTGGCACGGATCATTTTCAAAAATGTTTTCTTTTTGCGACGGTTAAATAGTGGGTCGCAAAAAACTAGACGCAAAAAGTCACTTTTTTAGTAGTGTATCCTTGAAAATCAACAAATTCAAGAACTTCCACTACAAGAGGAACAAGTCAACATAGAGCCTGTAGCTCAAATCCCAATTGAGACTACAGAATTAAGACGATCCTCACGAGCTAGAAAGTCAGCAATTTCTAGTGATTATTTTGTATATTCAATAGAGTTTGATTTTGACATCGGACCTAAAGATGATCTAATTTCATTTTCCAATGCCATGAATAGGGATGATTCTAAATTATGGTATGATGCCATGAAGGAAGAGTTGGAATCTATGGCTAAGAATCAAGTTCGAAAAATTGTCGAGTTGCCTAAAGAAGTTAAAGCAGTTGGCTATAAATGGGTCTATAAGACCAAGAAAGACTCAAATGGCAATGTCAAACGATATAAAGCCAGACTCGTAGCTAAAGGTTTCACTCAAAGAGAAGGCATCGATTATCATAATACCTTTTCTCTGGTTTCATAAAAGGATTCATTTAGAATTAGCATGGCATTAGTGGCTTATTTTGATTTAGAGCTATATCAAATGGATGTGAAAACGACATTTTTGAATAGGGATCATGAGGAAGAAGTATACATGAAGCAACCTGAAGGTTTTTGTTCTAATAAAGATAGTCATTTAGTTTGCAAGCTCAAGAAATCCATATGTGGACTAAAACAAGCTTCCCGACAGTGGTATTTAAAGTTCCATAATGTTATTACTTCATGTGGTTTTACGGAGAATGTTGTGGACAACTGTATACACCTTAAGGTTAGTGGGAGCAAATACATTTTTCTAGTTCTATATGTGGATGACATTTTACTTGCATCTAATGATTTGGGATTGTTGCATGATACTAAACAATTTATTTCTCAAAATTTTAAAATGAAGAATATGGGTGATGCTTCTTATGTCATTGGCATAGAGATTCACAAAGATAGGTCCAAAAGGACATTAGGACTATCTCATAAAGCCTACATTGAAAGAGTTTGGAGAAATTCAAGATGAGTGATTGCACTCCTAATGCAGAC